ACGGGCTAGTAAGCGCGAATCCTTTAGAAATATTATTGCCTATTTGTACTATCCACCATGTCATGTCTGTCTAACGGTCTAACCCATCAACGGGTACTAATTTCCAACTGACTCAAGTAATCGAACAGACAACATTAAAAACTAATTAATCAAACTAGTGCACGTATTGCCAAATCATTTTAAGTTAAATTTGACTTAAGCCAAAATTGGTTGGTAATACATTTCCTTCTGCACTACTGTAGCACTACTCAATTATTCATCTACCACGGATGTTGGCGACAAAGGCAGAGGGCAGCAAGGAGCCAATAGTGCAACAACGTCATCGGCGTGTGGATTAGAGTATTAGACATCCAGGAACTTGAACCGATAGCTCATCATCCCTTGTGACATTTTGGCGTTCGCTAATAAAAAAAGTTCATCTACATATTCCTTCTTAACCGCAAGGTTTACGAGCGAGTTTAGGATGCTTAGCCAGTTTTGAGAAGGGAGCCTGGGAGGCTGGGATGCTGAAAAGTCTTCCAGCCACCTACGTCTCTGGATTAGAAAATTTTCACGGCCGATCTGTTAAAAGATGTGTATAGCCACGGTAACATATACAATATACTGAAACATATACAACATCCAGATAAAACATTTACAACATACGTCTGAAACATGTGAAACATTTGGAACATACGCTTGCAACATATGTGTATACCTACTGCAACATATATAATATCCAAATAAAACACTTGCAACATTAGTCTGAAACAGCTGAAACATTTGAATCATACGCTTGCAACATATGTTTATAGATATTGCAACATATGCAACACCAGATTAAACATATGAAACATACATCCGAAACGAATGAAACATACGGAGCTCGACGCCGGCGCGGAGCTCGATGCCATAGAGTGGCGCGGAGGTCACCGATGCGGAGCTCATCGATGGCACGGACCTCGCGCGAGTGAATGGAGCGCGACCACGGCGGGAGACACGGTGGAGGCGGTGAATTCGTACCATTTTCTAGTCTTACGTCACAATCGCTGCCTATTATTCTCTGCGGCTCAGCTTTAGCCCCTACGGGCGGGGGCTCGCGGCACGCAGCGCAGGTGGGCGGTGCAGGCGGCGAGCAGCGCGTACGGGGTCCGTCCAGACGGATGAACGCCCTAGGTATCGTTATCGTATTTAAAAATATTTAGCTAGCACATTATAGTAATTTTGATATATATATATATATATATATATATATATATATATATATATATATATATATATATATATATATATATATATATATATATATTGCCGAGATGCCCTACCGGCTAGCCGGGCAGTGACTTCGCCACTGACACCAGGTGCTAACCGTATGCTGTGTCGTCCGCTCAAGTCAGGCGCTGATCTTTTGTCACGTACTCACGTCATCCACGATGTCGGTGCTAGTGGGAGGATAAGATTTGTTTGTGTCGTCCGCTCAAGTCAGGCGCTGATCTTTTGTCACGTACTCACGTCATCCATCCCCGATGTCGTATTATTGGAGTGGGAGGATAAGATTAAAAGGCGGTGATATTAGCTAGACGGGAGTACACGGGAATTAAAGTTGACGTGGCTCCGCGTTCGTCCAGTACTCTAGAAAATAATCGAACGCACGGATTAGAGCATTTCCGCTCTTAAAAAGATCTGCATGTGTAAACATAGGCGATTTTCTTAAGAAGGCGGCCAGTAACGTGATAAGCTGGCCCTAATCATCTTCACGTGCTGCCCATAGTTCTTTTTTCCGGCCGATGAATATGCAAAAGGAGTGTCTAGAAACATAGTTTCTATAGTAGTTTACGATGGGCTCTTGCCTTTCGTGTTGGCACTGAATACAACTTGCGCCAAAACTAACCATGTGCTTGTTTCTAAGATGAACACGGAGGAACGAAACATGTTGATCCCGTGGAACCAAGCCGGTTCGTCCCCTATGGACATCGTTTACGTCAATATTTGGCTGCGAACAAGTAGTGATGCGTCGTTTCCGGAGGAGAGATGATGTTTCCCTCAGATCCGGAATACACTCGACGTCTCGACGCGTGGAACCAAGCCGGTTCGTCCCCATCGTTACTCGTTCGTGATTCGTCTCACCCTAGAAAGAATGGCCTTGATCAATCGGTTGCGGCCTAGGGGCCGGTTTCCGTTTGCATCTTGCTAGTTTTAATATGCTAACTATTAGCACCTGCTAACATTTCAGTTGTTAAGAGATGCTAATAGACTCAAAGGTGAAAATTTATCCCATCTTGTTTAGATCCATATTTACTAATTTTGTTAGATCCATGTTGCATCAATAATCAAACATGGTCTAGTCTGATAGTAATGTACGAATATGGTGATGATCACTGTCATGATTCTCGGGATTTTTACCTGAACTCCGAACAATTGTGCTTTAGTACAATTGATCTTAAAAAGAGTACATGTTGCTAATTCATTGACCCTGTTTTTACAACTCGTGGTTTCCCATTTTGCTCTCAACAGGCATCTTCTTATGCTCGTGTCAGGTGTTGCCACCTGAAATTGGTGCCACCTGTAAAGGCAGACGACATGATATATAAGTGTTTGCAGTTACACATAGCAGCCGAGTTCACTTGCTGATTACATGTAATTATCTAACAATGTAAATTAAGATGGGAGACATAAACAGTCAACGATAATGGAAAAAAAAAAGTCAATCAGGGCTGGGTGTCGACGTGTAGTCTTGGTACAACAAAAGAAGTTTTGTGTTTGTTAAAATATTTTTAATATGAAATAAGCAACACCTTCGAGAGAGATTGAACAGAGGTTAAAGTGGCCATGGTCACATCCTTGGCACTACGTGAGGATGCCCAAAGTCCGAAATGTTCAGAGATAGCACCAAAAAATGCTGACAGATCAATATTTAGTAAGACAGCCAAAAAAATATCTTAACTGTTAAACATGGTTTACTCCTAGCAGCAGAAAATATATAGCTAACAATGCTTGTTTTATGTTTGTGTAGTAGTAGCATATAGCTAGAAAATTATCCTGGCTCATATGTACACCAAAATAGTATTGTTTACAGATTGTTCAGAAGCTGAACATGTGTTGATTGAATATCTAAAGTAGATCACTACAGCATGTTGTTTAATAGAACACTTAAAAGTGAATACAAGTCATATCATGCTTTCAGCAAAGGCACATTATGTTAATTTTATTATCAGAGCTTTCAGCAAGATATGAACAATAAGTAATTTATAATGGAAGCAAAGGCACATTATGTTAATTTATAATGCAATCAAATTAGTAATTAGTAGAATCTAAAACAAACCTGAAAATTTGGTTTAAAGTTCTTGAGATCCTTGTTTAGAGATTGTCGGACGTTATTACATAATAGCATTGAGGACTTAATGCAATTAGGTTAAATGTATAACTCGACAGGCAATATGATTGATTGCTAGAGCTTGCTTGCCCCTTTGTCCCATGTGCCTACCATTTAGTTCACATAAAGGAGGTCATAAGGTTCAGAGAACAATATGGTAGACTACATGTATCCATGCACTGAATCGTTAATTTGGTAAGCAAGAAATAATTATTTCCAAGTGTACTGAAATCAATCAAGCAAGCTATCAGACTATTCAGAGGTTTGCCACTTCAAGCACAATTTTGAATAAACAAACAGTAAGCAAGTATTCTGAATTTGAGTTTTGGAGTTAGTAATCTTGCTACTCAAGGATTAAATTTGTGACCAGACTGTAACACTTAAGTACTTAACTGACATAGATGATTCCATATGTTTCAGAAAAAATTGCTACACCAAAACAAGCTTATGAGCTTTAGAGAAAAGTATGGTTGGCTCAATATGCAATTATGCCTACAATAAGTCAAGTCATTAAATTGTATAGAATATAGCCATAGAAAGATAGCCGGATAATATGAATACAAGTTTCACCCAAAATTAGATCTTTTTTTTTTTGAGCAAACCCAAAATTAGATCTATTCAGTGAGCATTTCACCTTGCAGGCATTTCCTCGAGCAACTGTTGGTCGTCGTCCATGTGGGCGACCACTCCGTCTGCTAGGCTGCGGGAGGCTGCGCAGCACTGGTGCTACTGGCCTTTTTCCGTCATGTGCGGCTTACGCATAGTGCTGGAAGGGGTATCAGGTACGAGCGAAGGGAGCAGCATGGCAGGGGTGGGCTTTGTGAGATATGGATTTTGGTTTGAGAACTTTGTGGAGGAGTGGAGTACGCCTATGGAGGAAGCAGCAACCGTCGAGGTGACTGGCGCGAAGAGGGGCAGGCAAGGAAAGGACCTCCGACCCTCATCATCGCGGTGGCCGCGCTGCCTCTGCTATCGCGTCTACGAGGGATGCAGTGGCTATGGCTAGGTGAGGAGGCAGGACGGCGGCCTCCGTGGTTGGGGACCGGCACCTTCTCGATGCTTGCGACTCGCGAGGCGGAGGGGATGAGGTCGTAGCCCGAGCGGGTTCGCGAATTCACGAGCGCCCGATTTCCTCGTTTAGTGGATGACAGAGCCGCCAACACCAGTATCGGACGGTTATCATACATGGTCAGCTGGCTCGATCCTCCGGTTAAAGGGTTATCGGGCGACGTGGTCCTATCCACCTGCCCGCTTTTGGTGCAGGAATCTTATCTGTAGATAGATGCAGGCGAGCTCGGCAAGTCAGCATAGCGTCGCGGATCCTCCCCTCTCCCTGGAACATGGCTGATGAGCTCTGCAGTGGTGTGGCTCCTCCGGTCCTCCCTATCCCTATTCCCTAGTTGAGTCTGTGGTGTCCATCTCCTCGTGCGATCGGGGCGGCCTAGCCGCGGCCCGCGGGACGCGCGGTGGGAGTGGCGCGAGCGGGTGGGGGAAGCCTGGCGGACCCTCCTAGATAAATACTCCATATTGGCACATGAGTTCGCGACAATACATGGACGACAAATCGAATGAAGGACGACAAAATTTTACACGCCGCGCCGCGCAGAAAAACAACTGACTGCTCCTGTACAAAAGAATCCCATCATATCTACCACAGCAGATTGGCGACGAGGCAGAGAGCGACCAGTGCAAGACGGTCACTGCCGTGCGAACCTGCCATCGGAGGACCTGAGCTCACCGGCGGGCTGCTTGTCGGCGCCATGCCTGCCATCTGCGGACCAATGCCGCCTTCAGATGCCATCGGCGTCGCTGACGGGCCGAGGTACGTCTCGAAGAACGACGACGTCGGCGGCGGCATCAGCGGAGGGAACTGGTGCGGACCTGCAAGAACGACACAATTTTTTTTAAGAAAAGATGAGCAATTGTACGCACTATTTTGCTTTATACTATCCACGGTGTAGGCCAATGACCAGTTCACCATGGTTGAGGGTAAACAACAGTGGCGAGAAGAATGACCTGGGCACTGGGGTTTCAGTGACGTGGTTAACCAGCAAGAATCAAGATGCAAAGAAAGATTGTTGGTGAAAAGGTTTTTTTTCCCCTCAAGGCTCAAGCCTCAAATCATGAAGACGAGGTGAATTTGTGTGTGCTTACGTGGCGAGGATGGTGCCGTTGACGTATCCGCCGTAGCTGCAGGAGGTGACGCTGCAACCGGCGCTGGTCATCTGGAGGGTGAAGTTGCCGAGCATCATGCTGCTGTTGCTGCACTGCATGCTGGAGCACGTCGAGTCCGCCAGCGGCGCCGGCACGCAGAACAAGCTGCAACGAGCAACGGCAGCGGCAGCGGCAGCGGCAGAGTCAGAAACACGACACAGCAGGGGCGCAGCTGAGGCTGCAGAGCAGGAAAAAGGCAAGGAGACGCCGCCTACTCCAGGTTGCCAGGGCCGCAGCCGCAGCTGCACTGGACGCAGCGGTTGGGCGTATGTCCCGTTGGCCACGGTCAGGCCGGCGTCCGACGTGAACGCGGGGAACGACGAGGCGCATTCTGAAACAGTAGGGCCTCATTTAGATTAGGGTTAGAAATCAGTATTCGGTACTGTAGCATTTTCGTTTATATTTGACAATTATTGTTCAATCATGGCCTAACTAGGTTCAAAAGATTCATCTCGTAATTTACAATCAAACTGTATAATTAGTTATTTTTTTATCTATATTTAATACTCTATGCATGTGTCCAAAGATTTGATGTGATAGAGAGGGAGTGAAAAAACTTACAATCTAAACCAGGCCTAGATGAAGAGCACTGAGCGTGTCAGTAAAAGTACGAAATAATGATGGAGCGGTAGAGGAATCCTTGACGAGGAGGACATGACAGATGCAGTATCGGTCAGTGATCAATCATGGAATGTAACTGTCCTGTTCGTCCGTGATTATCCATATCTGGGGGAGAATAACCTTTGTGCCTTTCTTCCACACAAAGACTCCACCATATAAAACTGGCAGCCGCACACGGCACACACATGGAGCGCACTAGTATGTTGCTACTGGACAATATTTTGCAGTGCTACAAACAGAGCACCAACTCAACACTTTTGGCGCAGCGGTACTAGGCACATTCTTGCGCCGTGTACTCGTGCTGCATGCTTCACCCCTTTCCATCCCCTTTTCACGTGCAAAGGAAAACACTCACGGACCCTTGCCAAATATACAAACTGCTCGGCCAGACTGGCTTTTACTGAACTACTCCCTCCATCTCAAAAATAAAGTCCCTATGAAAATCATGCTAACTTTTTAGGAAGCGAGAATGACTCTCTCTTTTTTTTTTTTACAAAGGAGCAGTGCAGAAATGTTACGCGATCAAGCGACACTTCAAGTGCAAAAACCTGCAACAACGGCGTGAATTCTGCTTGCTACTTCAGGTAGTAAGTGATCAGCTAGACAGCTACTGGTAGTACTGGCTGCACTGCTACGCGAGCAATTTTTACGAACCAAATTTGTCGGCAAGCGTCCGATCTAACCAACCGACCACGCACGCGAGCGAGAGTGGCTCTGCAGGGTACATCTTAGGCTGAGCAACGGTCCAGGCCAGCAATGCCAAAAAAAAAAAAAAACAGATCGAAGAATGCTCACCTGGCAGCGGCACGATGATGATGTCCCCGGCGGCGACGTCGGCGGTGGCCATGTCGTTGACGCTCATGAGGTCGTTGCCCGTGGTGCGGAACCTCCGCGCGATGGCCGGCACGGTGTCGCCCTCCGCCACCACGTACGTCAGGTACACCGCGGGGGCGCCGCTGTCGACGCCGCCGAAGCAGGCGCAGTGCAGCGGCACGAACAGCGTGGTCCCGGCGTCGAGGGCGGCGTCCTCGGGCATGCCGTTGGAGTCGCGGATCCAGTCGGGCGTGGTGAGCCCGCCGTAGACGGAGGCGGCGACGGACGCCAGCGTGTCCCCGGCCCGGGCCACGTACCGGACGGAGGTGGCCTTGCAGATGCCGTCGGAGCAGGCGCAGGGCACCGGCACGCGCAGCGGGAGACCCGCCGGGAGGATGCGGTCGGCAGGGTCTGGGACCGCGAAGTCGATGGCGTTGGCGGCCAGGATGGCGAGCGGGTCCGCGGCGAACAGCGCCGCCAGCTCGGCCAGCTTCAGGTCCGCGTAGAGCGTGTAGGAGAGCAGCGCCGGGCAGGCGGTGGAGGAGGCGCAGGACTCGAGCGTCGACATGGACACTGCATTGGGCACGGCGACGAGGAGGAGGTGGGGTAGTAGTCGTAGGGACGCCGGTGCTGCCCGCATGACGACGGCTGTCGGGTGCGGGTCGCCTGAGTCAGTGAGCGGCGACCGGACGGACGCTGGTGCTGCCTCCGGGCTGATCGGCGATCCGTCGGGCGGCGGGTGGCGAGAGTGGAGAGCGAAGCTGGAGACCGCGCGCGAGCTCCTGTGTGGCGGATGCTGGGATGACAGTTTTTTTCACACTGAACAAGTGCAAACATATGAATCACCGGTAAACAGTGTTTAATATTTTGCGACGAAAGCAAGCAACATTAGATCATCTGCAAGAGAACAGCTAAATGGTTTTCTAAAGCCAAGTATAGATATCACTGAGTAAAGAACGCCTCCAACAGACTCTTTAGGTGCCTCTCTAAATTTAGTCACTCTTCATCCTAGAAAATTCGCTCGCTACAGATAGAAAGGCAGCCTCGCTCGCCATCGGTCCTCCACGCACGCTCGCCGGCATCTTTCCGCGCGCGAAGGCCCTTTCCCGCGCATGGTCTTCTGGTTTCCCTCCACCTTCATGGCCCTGTGCAAGTATTAATGTGAAACAAGTTACCCTTAGTTTTCCATAACTAAAATTTAGCTAATAAAACCAATGACTAAACTTTAGTCACATTTGTTTAGTTTTAGTGACTACAAATGACTAAAAGCCATTAAAACAATTTAACAAAAACCAAACTATCCCTAATGAATATTCAAATCAGGGTAGGGGACCAGCAATAATGATGGACAGCCCTTGTCCACTGGACACTTTAGCTCACTTTTAGCTACTCTTGGGGTGACTAATGTGACTAAACTACTTTAATCCCTTTTTAATCAGTTTATTTGGCACTTTAGTAGCTAAACTTTAGCAGGGGTAACCAAAGAAAGCCCTTAGTTGTGAGAATAGCACATATATTAATCTAGATGAGGGTGTGGATTTGTTTGTCTGTAGTTTGCATAAAAATAGATCTTTCACAGTTAAGTCTATACATCATCATCTAATCAATAACGACATAAAGGTTACCTCAAAATAAATATCCGCATTTGGTGTTTAAAAAGAAAGTAGTTATCACTATAGGTAATCTATCATGTTCGCTTGATCGTTTCTGTGGCTTATAAGCCGGTTGATGTTGTTTCGTTGTGAGAGAAAAACATTGTATCATAGCTGATAGGATCTAAGCGAACGAGGTGCTAGCTAGGAGGAACCGGAATGGTAGTAGAGTACGTTGCTTTTGTGATAAAAATGAAACGATCTAGCATTTGTTTTTGGATGTCATTATGCCAATCTTCTTTGGGGCGTGCGGTCCACATTATGTTTGGAATCAGGTCGAGTCAAATTCTTATTATCGAACTGTTTGACAGTTGGTCGAAGTTCGCGGACAAACATAATGTAACGTTATTGATGTGGGTTCTAGTTTTTTATTGGGTAATTTGGGTAGTAAAAAAGGTAAAAATTTTAATATATGTCACCGAAAAACTTGCCTCCAGGTTCTATTCAATTCAAAGAGACGGACCGGCTTTGGTTCTAGGCTCTATTGTAGCTCATGGTTGATCACAACAGTGGATGATTGGATGTGTCAAATCTAGAGTCTTCCGCCATAGAGTTCTTTCATTTTCCGTTTATAATAAAATATAATATTGAACTGTTATAAGCATTTAAATTTGGGTATATTTATTTTAATTATGGACTGCATGTCTCTTTTGTGAAGAGGATTGACACCAAAACTTTTCTACTCCCTCTGCTGTTGTTTATATGTAAAATTAGCTTCGTCCTAAGTCAAACATTACTTTTTTTACCAATATTTAAAAAAAATTCTTATAGTTTCACAACATATAAATTATATATTATGAAAGTATTTCTCACGGTGAATCTAAAAACATAAATATTATAACATGAATCTACATAGAATTTTTTAAATCAGTAGTCAAATATATAAACGTTTGACTTAGGACAAAGCTCATACGACATCTAATAAAAAATGGAGGGAGTATCGTCTAAAAGCCCAGGATCCAGCTGCACACTAATGGGCATGCTCAGGCTTGTCTATTTGTTTGAAATGAGGAATTTTTTATACTTTGTAATTCGCTTTATGCAAAATTAACTATTTGATATATTTTTTTGCAAAAATGTACTTCTCACAACAACTAAAATATCCAAGATATAGATTTCACAATTTTGAATGACAGAATTTAATTGGCGAGATCTTTTTTAGCACATCTTAAAAAATCATAATTTTTCCATATGAGCTCGAATGGAAACAAAATTCATATTGAAATGGTAAATCTCACTAGATCTATAACTTCGTAATGCACGACTTATGGTTTGAAGGCATCTTAGTGCCAAAATATGTTAGAATATTTAGTCCCTTATTTGCATATTAATTATTTCGATTCCAAGATAGCTTGAAAAAAAGGTGGCGAACTATAAGATTGTAAATCCTGTCGAGGTCTCTGGTTATACATAACTTTTGATCAATCAGGAGTCATATGAAAAGCTTATCAAATATTAAAGCATGAAGATGACTCTACAAAAAATTGGCAAGCTAGAAAGTTGTAGTTTTGTAGATTTCTTGGCCTCTGTACTTTCATGCCTTTATCTCTGTCCAAGTTTATATGGGGAAATTGTGATTATTTTAAAGACGTGTTGTTCTAATCTAGAAAATGGTTTCTCGCCAACTGAAATGATGAGATATAAATAAGTATTTAAGAAAAAAGTTATTCAGGCAATTATTTTGAGAAAAACGATTTACTAAAAAAAATCTTCAAGTGAGTGTGCGTTGGTGCTTTTGTCAAAGGCGTTTTAGGCCGTTCAGTTTTCTGACATATAACCTGGTCGATTCGGCAACTGATTCATGAAATGGTTTATACAGGAGCAGTTCTTGGGCCAACACTCGGGCCACGGGGGTGGGCCGGTCGGCGCCTCGGCGACTTCAGAGTTCAGACCACCCATCTAGCAAAGTATATAAATTGGTCAGCCCACAAAGGCCCAGTGCGGGAAGTAACTGTAAGATTCCGCAAAAGCTTCGGCTAATTAGAGACACTGCTTTGGGCTGCCTATCAGCACGTGGGGTATGGGCTAATTAGAGTTGGCTTGTGCAGCTTTAAGGCCGAGTGTGCCCCAGCCCAAAACATAATTAATCATTCTTTTTTATTATTTTGATCGCTGGAGACTTTTCTAAAATATGATATGATAACTTTCTTTATAGAGTATCCGTTACCAATTTATCAATTTCGTCTATACCATTTCATTCCTCGTGATGAGATCAATAAACAAGTCTTAGGGTGTGAACCGAGCATAGCTCAACTGATTTAGTTTCTTGTGGTGGAGTCTTTTCATCCAAGTTTAAATCCTCGACTTGACACCGGTGATTGTATTTTTTTGAAATTATTCCATGATTTAATGATATAATTCTTTCAATGATAGACAATGTGCTCGTCGATAGCGATGTGCCTATAATAACTTCGTGAATCTCGAAATTTACCGGTCCAACTCAGTTCTACCTAGGTCTCGAAAAAACAAGCCCTATGGTCCAACCAGTGACCCTCATCCTATTGCTGCAGTGTCTAGCCTTGACCGACGGTAGTGATACCTTCCTATCATTGCCAGGTTTCGGAATCGGCAGTGATAAGCAAGCCTACCACAATCAATTACTCTCTATACTCTAGCAGTGAAGCCGAGTTTACACTTGGCAGTGATATACGAATCTAGAGTAAGAACTCTTTCTTTTTTTTAATGGATGTCAGAGATTTATTCCCCATTTTTTTCAAAGTAGCAATAACTTTTTCTCCAAAGTAATTATTCGTGAAATATATGGAGAGATAGAGAACCATGTAAATATCGGACAAGCAGTACGATAGACATCTATTGCAACCATTTCCATCGAACAAGGACAGACATATACATCACTCCACTGCCCGTTCAATAAATCAACAGTACGTGCATGTATGGAACGATCGATCAATGTTGAAGCACGTCATGTGCTTGCCAGTGTCATGAAATGCCGTACGTGTCAGTAAAGCCAACGTGTAGATGAAATCATCAAAACATGGTTATACATGATCTTTTTTTTCAGCACATACACTGCACATGCACACATATGTATACTTTAGTTTTGCGGTCCGTAATCAATCGACACTAAGACCGACACGCGAGTTAATAACAAAGATATTTAGATGACGTTTGGTTCGGATCCTGCCAAGCAGCTTTGCTCTCACACATCAATTAATCATAGCCTCATCAGACGTCCAAACAAAGACGCGCGCCTGTGATGGATGTCTGTCCCAGTGATGAGCTTTTGCCTAACTGCCTCTGGCTTGGAGCCGAACATGTCCTTATTTCCCTTAGTTGTGAATAATGCATGCATATATCATGTACTTCCTCCGTTCCAAATTACAAGTCGTTTTGACTTTTTTGATATATCCATTTTGTTATGCATCTTGACAATCTAGATACATAACAAAATGGATGAAAAAAAAAGTTAAAGCGACTTATAATTTGGAACGGAGGGAGTATGTATATATGTTCTCATCTTGTTTACAGCATGAGATACTAATAATTTGCAAAGCTAGGATAAGTATATAGCTGAAGACAAATACAGATCAGTATAGCTGGAAGACAAATGCACGGTAACAATGGCGATTGGCATGAATCTTTCACATGACGACCACGTGAGCGAAGTAATGAGCCTAGCTATTTCTCTGTCTGGCCAGAGATGTGCTTATATTAAATGCTTCAATTCGCTCTTCAATTCAAATCTCGTTGTGTTCTAGAGTGGCAATGTGGCAATGTGTTATATTAGCTTGCATGTAATCAGTAACAATGTCAATGTGCATTATTTTGACATGAATATATAGGATTACGTGCGTTATTAGAAGGCATGCATGCACTCTCATGGCAATTCGATCGAGTTTCCAGTAGTTTCTATTCCAATAAGAAGAAAAATGCACTACTGCATTCTCAGGGCAAAGGCAGGGGAATGCAAACGCTGAGGTCCGGTGCTTGCATGACAATGATTCATAAATTCGTCCAGAGCCAGCTG